TCCAACTCATAGTGACCTGTATAGGGTTTCAAAGGAGCAGGTGGTGGGTTTGAACTGCCAACCTTGCGATTCACAGTCCAGTGCTGATCCTACAGTGCCACACCAGGAATCCATTCATTTTATATAGGCCTGTTTATTTTTTGGCTGAAAGGTGAGCTTCGAGGGTAGGTTCAGTTTCAGGTTTGTTGTTGTTATGAAGTGCCGTCAAGTAGGTTCCGACCCATAGCAACCCTGTGTAGGGTTTCCGAGGAGCAGCTGGTGAGATTGAACTGCTGACCTTGCAGTTCAAATGACTTTGTAGTCTGGCGCATTAACTCACAGTGCTACACCAGTTAAAGGGCCATAAAATGAGCCCTGGTGATGCAGTGGGTTAAGCATTGAGTTGTTAACCAAAAGTTCAGTAGTTTGAACCCACAGCTTCTCTGTGGGAGAAAATGAAGCAATCTACTACTGTAAAGATTTACAGCCTTGGAAACCCTATGAAGCAGTTCTACTCTGCCCTATAGAGTCCCAGTGGGTTGGCATGTCTGCCTTACTCCTCGTAGTGGGTAAGGGTCATTGTCTAAGGGTTTCCTCCAATCACCATTAAACCAGTAACGGGTATTATTTTGAGTTTGAGTTTTGTTCCATATTTTTCTCCCACTTTATCCAGAACCTTGCTCAGGTTATCTTCAGAAGCCAGAGACCAAGAATTAGAAGCCAGAGATCAAGAACCAGATGTCTTTGTCTCACACACAGCCGTGACCCAACAACAAAGCACATGTTCCTAGCCACTTTGCTATGTTGTTCTCCACTCTGCTCTCCTTGAGTGTCAGATCCCCTGCGAGGGAAGTGAGCATGGGCAATATGGCATTCAGTTTAGATATGCAATTCCTACTAGAGGTACAGTAGCTTGCTCAAGGTCACACAATGACAGACTCAGGAATTGTGACAGAGGTTTCCAGGCTTCTGCTTCAATTGTGAATTTCCCTAGCCTTGGGTGGCAATGAACAGCTCTGGTTCTATTTTGCTAGCATAATAATTACCTTGTCCTTCCACTTTTGAAGGTCTTTCTCCTCTTCTCTGATTAGCCATAGCTTGAGTGATAATTCCAAACAACGAGTGAGTTAATTTTTAGTCTTGGCATACAGGAGAAGGGTAATGGACAAGAACAAAGAAACAAACTCCTCCAGCCAAAGAGAATTCATCCAGAACATACTGCACAGAAAAATACAATCATTATTTTCACACCGCCTGCCGTATGTCATCACTGGACGGTCATGAGATTAGCAAGTATTTCTTTGTTATCATTTAATACAAAGGAATTGAGAGAAAGATTTATAAATGGTGCTTGTCTTTTTCATGTCACAAAAGGGCAATTCTTAACTAGGAAAATCATACTTGAGCTCCCATTCTTGGGAGGCATGAGTATTCAGGCACAAAGGCTTTGCCAAATGCCACACTTCTGGAAAAGGAGCTAGGAGGGACCCTCTATGCAAGTGGCACTGTAGATGTGCCCAGAACACAGGCCTGCCTGTGTGGTGCAAGACTGAATCTCTAGGCTTGCTATATAGCCAGATCCAAGTAACTTGCTCTCCTGCTGCCTGATCTCAGTGGTATAGGCAGAACTGGAGATACCTGTACACCTGGATTTGCCATGGCAGAATCAACCTGGCATGTCTTCAAAACTCAAGTCATCTCCAGCAGAGAGATCATTCAAGGTGGCTCCTTCATACTCTTCAGGCCAAAGAAGAGAGTGTCATCCTGAGTGGCATTCCAAAGGGCAAAGAGTGGGTCGCCATATACAAAGGCTATTTCATAGACAAAGAGCTACTCTAGGGTGAGTTTGGTACAAAGTCCATTTGTAGCCACTTAACATCTTTTGGACTATCTCTCTCTGGCTGCCATTTTCCATATCTTGAGCCACATCGTCTCAAAACCCATTGCAACTGAGTCAATTCTGACTCACAGCGATTTTCTCAGTGTAACTGTAATTCATGTTCCCAGCATCTCTTGCTGTTAGCATCTCTTGCTGTTAGGATGCAGAAATGTGACCTAAGTTCCACCTATCAGATGGGCCCATGGCAATATGGTGATTTAGAAGGAAGCAAAGTAAGGAAGTGAGCACCAGAATGTACTCTGGGGATCTGGCTCTAGAATTCCTGGTTTCTTAGGAACAGCTATGAAGAAACTTCTGGCATCTGGATGCTGATGTTGCCAGTGTGAACTACAGTATCAGTTCCAGAGGGTGGCACCAGTAGTGTCTGTCCTGAAACCACCCTGAACTATACTGGGTGCTGCTTCAACTGCGGACAGTGTTATAGCCTGCAGCTCATGTCCTTGCATGAATCAACCCAAGTCACCAAAGATGCAAATGCCCAGGCTATGTTGAACTGGAAGTGCCGTTGCTCAGAAGCTCCTGGAAAGTCATGGGACAGTGGAGGAATGCAGGCTTGGGAATCAGTCAGACCTGCATTGAAACCTGGCTCCACCACTTACTGGCTATGTATAGTGTGTATTTATTATGTATTTACTCTGCTAGATGTGTCATTAATTCCTGACCCTCAGTTGCCTCAAATAAAAATGAAAATAATCATATCCAATCACAAGACTGTTAAGAAAATTAATTATTAAGCAAAATATTCTGAATAAGGTGCCTGGTATTGGCTTGGAAGAGTAGGGAGCTTCAGAATTGATTTTTCTCCTCCACCCTTTGCTCTTAATACTGTTATCTTGTATATTAACTATTCTCCCACTGAGATACCATCTCCAAATCATCCAAGTTTTTGTAAGAAAGGAAAAAGAGCAAAGCAGCACAAAGTCTTCAAGCATAACACCACTAGGCACATTTTTCAAGTTGACAATGATCTACTCATAACACTCCTGGGGTCTGTTTGATCAGTGAACCATGAAGTCATCCAATTAGACTGCCATCCAGCCAGCATTTTGACATCATGCATAAAAGGGATAGCACTGTCAAATACTTGGTAAAAAGAAAATGACAGCAATGACATTCTCCTAAGTCTAGCAGTCTAAAAACGTTTGTTTAAAAAAACACAATGATGAGAAAAATCTGGTGTGGCCTACCACTGACACCTCCTCATATTTGGGGTAGTAGCTTCCAGAGTCTTTCCCACACATTCAGTGTGGCCCTCACAACTACTTTGGACACAGGAAGGGTCTCGTTGGAGAATCCTACTGGCTCCTACCAAGAACGCTGGGCTTCTTGGTGCTCCCTGGCTCATTGGACAGGAATCCACTCTGGGACCAATCTGGCCACCAGTCCTCACTAAATACTCAGAAAAGCCTAGGTGTTGGGGATTCAGATCTACTGGTGCTTCCACAGCAGTTGTTGTTGTTGTTGTTAAGTGCTGTCGAGTCGGTTCTGACTCAAAGTGGCCCTGCATAGGGTTTCCAAGGAGCGACTAGTGAATTATAACCACTGACCTTGAGGTTCAAACTGACCTTGAGGTCCAGTGCATCATCCCACAGTGCCACACCAGAACTCCAGTGGTGGTGGTTATGTGCTGTGGAGTTGGTTCCGACTCATAGCGACCCTGTACAGGGTTTCCGAGGCTGTAAATCTTTACGGGAGCAGAAAGCCTCATCTTTCTCCCACGAAACAGCTGGTAGTTTCGAAATGCTGACCTTGCGGTTCACAACCTGATTTGTAACCACTACGCTAGAGAGGGTCAATTACAGGAGCAACCACCATAAACTGTGACCAGTAGCAAAACAGAGGAGTCCTGGTGTGGCATGGATCTCAAAGTCAGTTTGAACTGCAAGGTTGGTGGTTCAAACCCACCAGCTGCGCCTCAGAAACCTTATACAGGATCACTGAGTGGGAACCAACTCCACGGTAATTAACAACAACAGTAAAATAGAAGAAGCCCAGGGACCCATACACACGCACAGAATTAGGGAGCTACATGGAACTACCTTTGAGAAGGTTCCAATTTTTCTCTATTCTTTGAGCCATTCATGAAAACTCAGTACTTTCAGATAGTATCCTGCTGACTATAGTATTTTTTCACTCAGACAAGGTAGTTTCAAACAACTTCTGAAAGCCAGATTAAAATAGTTGTGCATTATCTGGAAAGCAACAGGGAGCCTCAGAGGGTGATAAGATCAGAGATATAGCTTCTTTAAAACAGATGAGAGGTCAAAAGGGAGGCTGGGTCCCACCAAAGGTTGTTTTAATAGTCTAATAAATATTTAGAAATGGTTGATGGCATGGGTATATTCATACAGAGATTCACTTTCTATATTCATCTCTGACTTTTTATAGGTGCATGGCTTTCTTCAGACTCACATCAAAGGGAAGTGCAAAGTCATTCTGGATTTAGGCTAAAAAGAACACACTGTTAATTAACATAATTACTTTACCCACTGTAATGAGTTTAAAAGGTTACATACACTAGGGCATCTGCCAAAAAAAACTTAAGTATTCAGTACATTCTCATGGAAAACATTTAAAAAAAAATAGTTGCCAGTCATCAAAATCTGGGAAATGTCAATCTAATGTTGTTATCTGGTTTTCAGAATGTAAATGCCATATGCTTGAATGAACTATTCCAGAAATTTTCCCAGAACAGGCCACACCCAATTAGCTTTATCAAGAGAAGTTACTCAAAATGGCAAAGGGTTTGTAGTTACCACAGACGGGTCACTGGTACCACAGATGGGTCACCTTCTTTTTGTGTGGCGGTGAGTAAGGAAGGTTAAGAGCTATGGTTGTTTGTCTACATTAACGAGCTCTGATAATGTAGTGGTTATGAGTCAGGCTGCTAACCTTTAGGTCAGCAGTTCAAAACTACCAGCTGTTCCACGAGAGAAAGCTGAGGCTTTCTGCTCCTGTAGATTTACAGCCTCAAAAACCCTATACAGGGTTACTATGAGTTGGAACTGACTCCACAGCACACCCCAACACCACCACCAAAGTTAAAGCCTCACAGACACCCATTTCCTGGGAGATAAGGACCAGTTGGCAGGGACTGTTGCGGGACAATTGCTGCTCTTACCCAGCGTCATCCTGGAAGCCTTCTAACTCGTCCCGCTGCTCTGCCAGCGTTGCTTCCAAATCCAGGTAGGCGCCATTGTGGGAGAGCTGCAGCGCACAGTCGTCGAGCTGCAAAAGAAGGAGCCCATTTAGCCCAATCAGCTCCTGAAAAGGAGGCTCTGAAAGGATACATCAATTTGTGTTGCCCTCGTGTGTTTCTTAAAACCAAACATAGTTCTTGAAGAGGTAGCCTGTTAGTGGAGAGGGCTTGGGAGCAAATTGCATTCAGAATAGGCAGATATATGACATCTGTTAAGTAGCAGAGACAAAGCCTAAAGGATGTGGATGGGGAGGAGAGGAGCCCCAGGGTGCCACTACGTACTCTGAGGGTCCCAGAAGGAGCCATGGGTATAGGGAATGGGAACCAAGGCCCTAGTGACAGTGAACCCATGGACTTAAAGTCAGTTTAAAGACAAATTTGGTGGGAAAACATACGATTTCCTTTGCTTCAGTAGAAACCCTATTCAGATTCTCCAGCAGTAACTTGACACATTCCAATTAATAGTTGTTCAATAGACAATTTTACAATTGAACTGAAGCAAACATTCTCCACCTGAATAGCAACATATGCAAATAATAGCATACCAATGAGGAAATTAAATAGGTTACTAGTTTTACTTTCCAAAGTTTATTTCACAAACATTTGCAACATGTTATGTTCCCAGCACCACTCTAAACAATTTACATATATCATGGCTTTTGATTCTCGCCTTGTAAGGTCTACTGTTAGTCCCATTTTACAGATGAGGAAACTGAGGCACAGAATGATAAGAAGGTACCTGCCCAATGTCATCAGCTGGTGAATAGCAGAGCTGGGATTTAGATGCTAGTTATATGGTTTGGGTCAAGGTCATGCTATCAACCACTACACTCTGTATTCTCTTCACACTCTCAGACCTACACTGTTGTATTGTTGCTGAGTGCTGTCGAATGAATTCTGACTCAAATTCAACCCAGGGTTTCCAAGGAGCAGCTAGTAGGTTTGAACCTCTGATCTTGCAGTTAGCAGTCCAGTGCTTATCCTACAGCACCAAACCAAGACACCCTCCATAGAGCTTGAAAATACCTATGCAGCTTGTATTACCTAGGACCCTGGTATGTCTGTAGCAGCAGCACCTGTTCACAATCACATTCCGTTTTCCTCCAGGGCACGCAGATCACATAGCCCAGACTGCTTATCGTTGGGGTACAGTCACATAACGGAGGACTACCTGGGGCAGAATATGGCAAGAAGTGAAGTTGGCCCCCAGTGGCCCTGGCCATAACATCTCCTGCCCAAACTATCCACTTTTTGTCCCTTCCTTGTCTACAACTAAGTGCAAAGGAGCCAGAGAAGGACTCCGGAGCTTAGAAAACAGCAGAGCCCAGATGGAAGGAGCTTGGGTCCTATGTGGCAGAGAACACTTCGCTGTCCAGCCTCCACTCACCCATCCTGCACCATGACATGATCTAGAAATAAACCTGTGCTGTGCCTAGACCCTGAGATTTTGAGGTTGTCATGTTGTTGTTATGTGCCGTGGAGTCGATTCCGACTCATAGCGACTCTGTATAGGGTTTCCGAGGCTGTAAATCTTTACAGGAGCAGAAAGCCTCACCTTTCTCCCACAGAACAGCTGGTAGTTTCAAACTGATGACCTTAAAGTTCACAACCCAATTCGTAACCACTATGCTACCAGAGTTACAGGTTGTCATAGCAGCTAGCATTATATTACATCTAGAAACACTTAGAAATACAAGAAGCTAATTTTACCTACAACGATTCAGGTTCACATTATGAGAAAATCCAAATGTATAACTTCCTGTTTGATTTCTCATCCTGTAAGTGTAGCTTGTATTATTCACCCACATGGTGATTAAGGTTCTCATCACAGAATTATAAGTGACTGAGGGAAAGTGGAGACAAATATGTGGCTACTTAAAAACATCCAGGTAAATGCTTGATAATCCTCACCATCTAAGTGAGACTTCAAACAAGGAATTAGCGTCTTTTGATAGAAAAGCTTTGCCTATTATCTCAACAAGAAAAATGTAGCCTGTGATCTTGCTTAGAATGGGCATCTATAACAGGGGGCTAATTCTTACAGAGACCCCATAGAGTTCCTTGTTTCTTGTTATCCTGGCAGAATGAAAGGAATTTGTCCTTTATTATTTGTAAAAAAATTCCTAGTTAAAACAGACTTAATCCTATTTGATTCACATATTTTATTTCCCTGATAAAATAAAATAAAATAATGTGTTCATTATGAGTACTACCTAAAGGCATGCTGGTGAGTTATGCTGGTGAGTTTCAGCACTCTTGCCCGACTTTTTATAAATTGATTCCTGCGTTTAAATACAAGGATGGAGCTCTTGACCATCCTTTAAATACAAGGATGGAGCGGCATCAGTGAGCGCGAGGGCGGAGGGGCGGAGGGAGCCCGCTGCAGCCGGTGGAGACTGCAACAGCGAAATGGTCGAAAAGGTGGCCAAAACCAGACGGAAGGCTGATCACCAGGCCGCAGAAACTGAATGAAGCCTACAGACCGCCCAGCAACTTCCTAGACCGTGGGGGTTGGCAGGGGCTTCTTCACTACCTAAGAAATCAAGGTCAAGACAAATCTTCCTATAGTCAAGCTCAAGGAATCTACTGTAAGAAGAAGCTACAGTGGCTTTGAATGGCTGCGAAGTGAATTAGAAAAAGAGAGCATGGTTGTAGTTCCCCCACTCCCTGGAAAAGCATTTTTGCATCAACTTCCATTTAGAGGAGATGATGGAATATTTGATGATAGTTTTTTTGAGGAAAGGAGCAGTTTATAAACAAGATCACTGGTCATCCTCTGGCACAGAATGAACGTTGTCTTCAAAAGTTTTTACAAGATGAAATAATAGATAAAAGCTATACTCCATCCAAAAATAAGACATGCCTGAAATCCGGTGAGAAAGAGGCAAACACACACACATACACCCCAAACTAAAACTAAAACAAAACCCCACTGTCCGTGACTATTAATGATTCGTATCCACCAGTGACGAAGTTGTGACTAACTTTTCTCATGCTGCACAGAACCTGGTCTAACATGCCTTCAGTATACTAACACTAGTTATGATGCTGTTTTGTTTGTTTTGGCAGTTGACAAGAAGTTAATTTGCTTTAGTGAAAATCCCTCATTCCAGCCTTTCTATTAATAGCTGCTTCTTGCTGTTATTACGTAGTGTGCACTAGGCACTACTGGATAGCCTCACAAACCTGTTATTCCAGTCCAATTTGCAGTGTCCTCACTAAAGCCACCCAATTGGTCTTATATGCACAGATTTTGTGTCATGTTTGCTTCTTGAGTCTGATTAACTAGACTAATTTCTCTTACCCCTTTTTTAATATGAGATGTCACCTGTCCTGATATATGTATAGGAGCTCTACACCACTGGTTTCTCATACCACACTTGTGTGCAGAAAGTCTCTTCCTTCAAGATTGTAAAACCTTCACCTGGAAGATTAATGTGGGACAGCTTTATTTATATTCTGTATAAAAACAAAATCAAGTTTATATACTAAAATCATTTGTTTTTAAGTTGTTTTCCAATAAAAATAAAAATGCCTTTCTGATATGCAAAAAATAAATAAATACAAGGATCGAACTGGTCCACATCACTGTACCCAGAGTTTGGGGAAAACAGAGGCACACCTCCCCCAGCTGAGGGAAGTAACAGATGGGAAGAGTTTCTTGCAGAAGGTTTCTCCTGACAAAGAGTCTCCTATAAACCACAATCAGTCGACAGCATTGCTTGGTGGGAAATTCCATTTGAAGCTGTATCTGCTAGCACGTACACAGAACCATGTGTTTAGTTGCAACCACTGAAAGCTCATTCATGCTTTGAGCTTCAACTGCCATTGTTAACTAATAAAGCTTACTTACTGCTTTCTGTTGACAGCATCAATGCAGTTGCTTATTTTTAATTCCATATATAATCAACAGACTAGAGGATAGGATAATGGAAACCCTATTACCCATAACAATTTCCTGTTGCCTTAGCCCATGGAAACATGAGCTCAGAGAAAGTACCTTTTGGGTAAAGCGTTTCTGCTTTACCTCAAGGGGCTTGAGTCTCTCCCCGGCTGTGGCCATGCTCAGTCCAGAGGGTGAGAACCAAGTAGTAAAGGAAGTGCTGCTCGGGCACAGAGATACACTAAGCAAGCACACATGTAGGGGGGGTACCAAAGTCCCATCATAGCCAACTGCCAGCATGAAGCCACTTAGCAGGAAGTTGAAAAGAGATGTGCAATAGAACACACACACATACACACAGGGTTTTAGAAGTTCATGGAATAATAGAACTGAAAGACAGAAATTGAAATGTAATTAGAAAAATGGAAATTTTCCACAGACATTTTTAATACCCCTTCAAAAAGTTGTACAAAAAGTGTTTTGTGTGTGTGTGTGTCATGTTGTTAAGTGCCTTGGGGTCATTTCTGACTCATACCAACCCTGAATAGGATTTCCAAAGCTGTATTAAGTTTGCAAGAGCAGAAAACCTCATCTTTCTCCTGAGATAAATATGTTTTCTTGAGAGAAAGATACATAATAAAGAAGACCATAGAAGAATCAATGCATTTGAATTATGCATATGATGTTGGAGAAGAATATTGAAAGTACCATGGACTTCCAGAAGAACAAACAAATCTGTCTCAGAAGACGTACAACCAGAACACTTCTTAAAAGCAAGGCTAGTGAGACTTCATCTCTTGTTCTTTGGACATGTTATCAGAAGGGATAAGTCCCTGAAGAAGGACATCATGCTTAATGAGGTGGTGAGTGGGTGAAAAAAAAAGCAAAATTCCCAATGAGATGGATTGACAAAGTGGCAGCAACAATGAACTTAAATATAATAACAATTGTGAGGATGGCATAGGAAAACAGTGTTTCACTCTGTTGTGCATAGGGCCACTACGATCCAAAACCGATTCAACAGCACCTAACAATAACAAATACATATATGACACTGTAGGATAAGCATTGGAACACAAGGTCGGTTTGAACTGCTCAGAAACCCTATACAGGGTCACTATGCATTGGACCCTAAAAACAACAAAA